TATTTAGTCARTTATTCATTCTATCATGTTTCTTTTTCATTCATTTAATTACCTTATTTCATTATGACGTCACAGTATGTTTTAATGGGAAAAAGACGCTCAAAAACAGTGGGAATTTTGAGCAATTCATATTTCCTCCCAAAGCGGAACTTCAATGTATCGTGTTCTGATATATATCATGAACGAATGATTGCTCATGTACGTTTCATTTGATATACGGTCACTGATCCCCCCTGGCGATCATAGTCCTTAGCGTTAAAACAATAGAAGGTTTTGATGTGACGTCATAAACAAATTTGTTTGGTTTGTTTGTTTTGATTGTAATTACTATTAGTTTATAAGCGAATTCAATATCAAAATCGTACAGTTTCAATTTTGTTGTAACAATTACATCTGTGTTGCAGGTATTTGACATTGTTATTCATCGATTCTTGGAACTTCCACCTGTCTTCAAGTCCTTGGAAAGCTTATTGGACCACTTGGGTTCACTTTACAAATTCCACGGTATAGCACATTTTTGTCTCGTATTTGTTTGTTAGTTTATTTTACCCATTTGTCCGTTTTTGTACTGGTTGTTTCATCGTGCTTGCATACCAATCTATCAATTGTAACATTTTTGTGTATTTATTAAAAGCTCGGCCTGTTACGTATTTATACAACACTCTTCACTATTATGAGAAAAGTCTCCAAGAAAAGCCTACTCTCAAAAAGAAGCTTGTTAGTGCAATAATAGGTACGTTAAAAGCTTTTTTGTATATTCTAAGTCGTTTACCAATTTACATATTGAGTCAAAGACATTTTTCCTCCTCTCCTTTATCACCCTGTCGTTGAATCAGCGCGCGCGCGTCAATGTTTTTGTTTTCCCGCCTTTTTCTCAACATGATTGTTATCTGTCTCTCCAGGAGTTTTGTCGATTTTTTGCACTCAAGACAACCGACTTTTTCTCCTAGAAGAGTATAAATGAGTGCCCACGCTATGTTTTTTACTGTATAAGAGTCCTGCCAAACGAAAGCTGATGAAAACATTATCGATATGCACCGTTGAAAAAACATGAAAGTTGACACAGAGTTTCTTCATTGTATTATCTATTGGACAAGGTGTTTTCTATTTAAGGTATCTATTCTATTTTTATTTCAGGAGCACAACGAGATATTAAACCTCAAGGCTGGTAAGTACATTCTTTACATTTAGACTCATTGCCCATTTTCGATATTTTAGTCAACTAACGCCCTCGAAGTCTCGTCTGCTGAACACTTCCAAAATATAGAAAGTGCAGTGAGAGTTATTTTTACTATTCTGAAATTTCTGTGGTTATTCAGGTTCAGGTGTTTGTCTCGGGGTTACCTTGACTACCTTTACCGCAGTGAAGATGCATCCTGGACTCCAGATTTATCATATTACTCCAATCTTATTGGTCGACTGGTGGATAGTATCCTTTGTACTAATTCATTTGCTTCTTTGTCCTGTTAGGGAATAATATTGTTATATATATCGTGCACAACGTTGTTTTTCAAGAATATTTTATCTTAACTTTACGAAAAGCAATCGAAAACAGCACTCCAACTGCCTTCCCAGAATGCGACTGGCGCTTTAACGAGTTTCCGAATGCTACTGCTCATGCGCTGTATGTTACTAGCATGGAGATTATGGCTCTACCAATCATCCCGAAGCATGTGGGATTTAATCTGTTTGACGTTATCTACAAAGGAAGCCCGTCTCATCAACATGCGAATATCAGAAGTAACATTATGTCTTGGATCAATGCAGTGGCTCATATTATGACGTCACTTCCGGTGAGAATGTCACTATTATGTGACGGAGTGTCATTGTGATTGCGTTACCATTGTTATTATTGTGTTCCAGGATTCGTATTGGAGTGTTATTTATGAAAAGATTTGCGAAGTACTCAAGACAGATCTTGCAACCCGTGACGTCGCTACATATCCCGTGATGCTTGAGGAAATCCATCGTCCCAGTCCTTTTCCGTACTCTTTCTTCGATTTCAAAGTAAATATGGCGATGCACTCTGAGACTCATGCCGATTATGTTTTGGCTTTGACGCATGCCGTGTGGCACCACGCTAGTATTGGTCAGCTGACATTCATGCCACAGTAAGTGCTGCGCAGCATACTGAACGCGTCACACACACTCCAGTAACTTCCAAAACCCCTATGGAATATAGCACAAGGAATTTATCCGTGAAGCTACTCGATTTAGTCTTTTCAACATCCATTACATCCCTTTCTTCTTCCATCCACTCACTATCTATTTACTCCTTTCTTCGTGATTGCATTTATTTTTCGTTCTTCGTTTTGCTTTCTCCATTTCTTCATTATTCATACCATTCCATCTTTACTCTATTTACTAATTCCTTGTGCTTTCATTCAGCTTCATTCGTACTCGTGTTACGCCGTTGGTTAATAATGAAGCCCAGTTCTTGTACGTTTGCTGTCTCGTTGGACCTTTCCTCCAGAGATTTCAGCTGGAAAGAACTCGATGCCTGCAAGAGGTAACTATGCCGATTCATCAAAAAACTGAATTAAAACTCGCATACAATGGAAACCTACAATAGTGTGAGGTTTGAGATACCTATAGTAGCAATTGTCCTCGATATGTATGAAGAGTAGTTGCTTTTAAAGCCATTGCATGACTCCTCCTCCAAAACAATGATAAATCTCCTCATTCCACAAGAGCCAACACTGAATCGGCGGGAGCAGAGGTAGAGCGGATTTCGTATGAGTGGGAAACGGACGGTACTGTACTGCGTCCGTAATCGTACTGTAACCAAATTCTAGTGCCCCATTGTTTCACCAAAATTCTTCAGGCCAGGTGTGGTAACCGTGCGGTAACGGTGTCCCACTCATACGAAATCCGCTCTAAAGAGGCGAAAAAAAGAGTTCCTTGAAAATGCAATTTGATTCATTCGCGACGATAGTTTTGACCACCGTGATTGTCGCTATTTCAAAGAGGTTTTTTTGGAAAATGCACGACCGAAAATTACTATGAGTAATGATGGCACTACTCACCAAAGACAATTTCCATTAAATTAACATCTGCGATGATAGTTCGTGTATTCAAGTATTTCTATGACTACCTGCTATTAACTATAGTTAGAATAAGTTATGTTCTCTGGGAGGTTTCTCTATGTACTAATATTCATCGTCTTTTCATGTCTATTCCATGTTTTCAGATAGTTATAGAGTTGTACCATCTACTGGAGAAAGTTGATAGAGAATCGCAGCATCTGCATCATGTCGAGACAATTTGTGATTTCCTGTATCCTTTACCAAATAGAAAAGTGAGAGAGAAAAAAAAAATATGACGCAATTCTAACTTTTAGGGTTTGTTTTCATACTTTCGTTTGTCTCCTCTCGCAGCCGTTATTTGGCGCGTTTCCAGGTCTCCCCATAAACGTCTGAATGAACAATTAAGATACTAGAGAAATCCTTTGTTGAAGTTCAACAAAGATAGCCGCTGTGACGAGGAATCATCTCAGAAGCCCTACTTACGCACTTTTGATCTTAAATTAATTTCCTTGACTTTCTTTCAAGATACCACATCAAATACATGTTTATAGGCGATATGGTACGAGACGAAGTACAAAAAATCATTCCTAAGCTTCGGCAGTCGCTTCAAGTTCGACTGAGATTCATGCTACAAACATCACTCAAACGAGACATTACAGAGTAAATTGTTATTTACAAAACCTATGAACAATAGCAACAAGATATCTTGTTGAAAGACATGAAATAGTAGAAATATAGTGTTCATGATGTAAATAATATTTAATTTCATTATTTTCAAATAAACTAGAAGTATACTATCAATTTGCTTATCGGAGAGGTTGTCCGGGCGATTCGAGAATGCGCGAACAATAGTTACTATAGGAAGCAAGGAATGGAAACAAGAGACTAAAAAAATGCAAAGCAAAACAAGAAATCTGGGAGGTCAAATGTCGGGTTCGAGTCCCGGAATCCAGATATATTTTTTTTCGGTCCGGTATCCTAGTTATTCGCACGCTGTGATTGGCGGTCCGGTTTTTCACGATCTGCGCGGTCCGACGGTATCCTGCAGCTGGGCCGCGAGCAAAGTTGCAGAAAATACAAATAAAAAAAAAAAATAAAAATGCTACGCTCACTCGTGAGATGTCGATTGAACACTAGAAGATAAAATTAGTATTTCCGCGCGCCCATGGAATATCCTCTATATACGGACCTCCCAGCCGGTATAACATATATATATGATGCAAACCAAGGCAGCTGACCAAGCCGCAGAAAGCAAACGTAATACCAAATTTTTAACATTTGAAAAAAATAAAAAATACAAAAATTACAAAATGTGTGGAAAACCTATTATAGAATAGAATCACAATTATGTCAAGATAAGTATTTGTTTAATTATCTGTAATGCAAGAGCACATTTTAAATGATAACCTAGTGAATCTATAAGGTAATCTCATACATCAACAATGGTGCAGTCCAAAAACAAATTCCCGCCATAACGTTCGTGCAAAAAAGATTCGCTCTCTTCTTGTCGTCATTGAGGTTACTTTTGCAGTAATAAGGATCTTCATTGTCAGGAATGCAACGCCTGGCTATGCAGGCTAACGACTACACACCTTTATCGAAAATTTCTTTTTGGAAAGGATACCTCTCAATATCAACAGTGCTTCAAAGACTTTCTTTTTTTTCCAACTACATCATTGAAAGGGCTTTGCTCTAGCCCCACCGTGTGTTGTCATGTGATTTTTCAGATGGTCTTTCCTCGCGAACTTTTTTTCGCAGTGAGAACATTCAAAGGGCTTCTCTCCGGTGTGAATTCTAAAATGACGTGTCATACTACTCTTTGACCAAAACATCTTTTTGCAGTGAGAACACTCGAATTGCTTCCCACCAGTGTGAGTTTTTACATGACGCGTGAAATCGCTTTTTCTCCAAACTTTCTTTTCGCAGTAAGGACATTCAAAGGGCTTTTCTCCAGTGTGAGTTCTTACATGAAGTGTCAAATCGCTCTTTCGTCCAAACTTCTTTTCGCAGTGAGAACAATCAAAAGGCTTCTCTCCAATGTGAGTTCTTACATGACGTGTCAAATCG